CCCTATGCAAGGCAGTAAAGCCACTAAGACACAAAGGGTTACTGGGTGTGGAAGAATTAGAACCAGAAACATTAATAAGGATTGAGAACATAAAGAATTATCAGGATGACAGTAGAAAGCGATTGACGTTGCATTTAAATTTTTGAAGATTAAAGTTGGCTGGAAAGCATGGAGACGTAAGGGAGTTTCACAAGCAAGGCAGCAAAGCCACTAAGACACAAGGGGTTACATGGTGTTGAAGAATTAGGAACGGATACTTTAATAATGAACGGAAAGAGAAAAGAGTAATCAGGATGGCAGTAGAGAGCGATTGACGTTGCATTTAAATTTTGAAGATTAAAGTTGGCTGGAAAAGCATGGAGACGTAAAGGAGTTTCACAAGCAAGGCAGCAAAGCCACTAAGACACAAGGGGTTACATGGTGTTGAAGAATTAGGAACGGATACTTTAATAATGAACGGAAAGAGAAAAGAGTAATCAGGATGGCAGTAGAGAGCGATTGACGTTGCATTTAAATTTTTGAAGATTAAAGTTGGCTGGAAAGCATGGAGACGTAAGGAGTTTCACAACAAGGCAGCAAAGCCACTAAGACACAAGGGGTTACATGGTGTTGAAGAATTAAGAACGGATACTTTAATAATGAACGGAAAGAGAAAAGAGTAATCAGGATGACAGTAGAGAGAGCGATTGACGTTGCATTTAAATTTTGAAGATTAAAGTTGGCTGGAAAGCATGGAGACGTAAGGAGTTTCACAAGCAAGGCAGCAAAGCCACTAAGACACAAGGGGTTACATGGTGTTGAAGAATTAGAACGGATACTTTAATAATGAACGGAAAGAGAAAAGAGTAATCAGGATGACAGTAGAGAGCGATTGACGTTGCATTTAAATTTTTGAAGATTAAAGTTGGCTGGAAAGCATGGAGACGTAAGGGAGTTTCACAAGCAAGGCAGCAAAGCCACTAAGACACAAGGGGTTACATGGTGTTGAAGAATTAAGAACGGATACTTTAATAATGAACGGAAAGAGAAAAGAGTAATCAGGATGGCAGTAGAGAGCGATTGACGTTGCATTTAAATTTTGAAGATTAAAGTTGGCTGGAAAGCATGGAGACGTAAGGGAGTTTCACAAGCAAGGCAGCAAAGCCACTAAGACACAAGGGGTTACATGGTGTTGAAGAAAGAGGAACGGATACTTTAATAATGAACGGAAAGAGAAAAAGTAATCAGGATGGCAGTAGAGAGCGATTGACGTTGCATTTAAATTTTTGAAGATTAAAGTTGGCTGGAAAGCATGGAGACGTAAAGGGAGTTTCACAAGCAAGGCAGCAAAGCCACTAAGACACAAGGGGTTACATGGTGTTGAAGAATTAGGAACGGATACTTTAATAATGAACGGAAAGAGAAAAGAGTAATCAGGATGACAGTAGAGAGCGATTGACGTTGCATTTAAATTTTTGAAGATTAAAGTTGGCTGGAAAGCATGGAGACGTAAGGGAGTTTTCACAAGCAAGGCAGCAAAGCCACTAAGACACAAGGGGTTACATGGTGTTGAAGAATTAAGAACGGATACTTTAATAATGAACGGAAAGAGAAAAGAGTAATCAGGATGACAGTAGAGAGCGATTGACGTTGCATTTAAATTTTTGAAGATTAAAGTTGGCTGGAAAGCATGGAGACGTAAGGAGTTTCACAAGCAAGGCAGCAAAGCCACTAAGACACAAGGGGTTACATGGTGTTGAAGAATTAAGAACGGATACTTTAATAATGAACGGAAAGAGAAAAGAGTAATCAGGATGGCAGTAGAGAGCGATTGACGTTGCATTTAAATTTTGAAGATTAAAGTTGGCTGGAAAGCATGGAGACGTAAGGGAGTTTCACAAGCAAGGCAGCAAAGCCACTAAGACACAAGGGGTTACATGGTGTTGAAGAATTAGGAACGGATACTTTAATAATGAACGGAAAGAGAAAAGAGTAATCAGGATGGCAGTAGAGAGCGATTGACGTTGCATTTAAATTTTTGAAGATTAAAGTTGGCTGGAAAGCATGGAGACGTAAGGGAGTTTCACAAGCAAGGCAGCAAAGCCACTAAGACACAAGGGGTTACATGGTGTTGAAGAATTAGGAACGGATACTTTAATAATGAACGGAAAGAGAAAAGAGTAATCAGGATGACAGTAGAGAGCGATTGACGTTGCATTTAAATTTTTGAAGATTAAAGTTGGCTGGAAAGCATGGAGACGTAAGGGAGTTTCACAAGCAAGGCAGCAAAGCCACTAAGACACAAGGGGTTACATGGTGTTGAAGAATTAAGAACGGATACTTTAATAATGAACGGAAAGAGAAAAGAGTAATCAGGATGGCAGTAGAGAGCGATTGACGTTGCATTTAAATTTTTGAAGATTAAAGTTGGCTGGAAAGCATGGAGACGTAAGGGAGTTTCACAAGCAAGGCAGTAAATATAGAGCGATACACAAAACATAATCATAATAATAATAATAATAATAGCAGCAGCAGCTATGCTTGCTGACTAGAAATTACCAAGCAAACATACTGAAAAATTGTGTTGACACTAATTTCTGATTCTGTGATAAATATCCAGAAACAATTGACCATCTTGTACAGGTTGCACGGTATTGGCACCAACTGTATATAAAACTCGGTATGATAGAGTGGGCCTATATTTGCACTGGCAAATCTACAACTTTTATGGGAAGGAGACTTCAATAAACTGGTATGAACATCACCCAGACCCGATTACAGACACAGAATCTGTAACATTTTATGGGACTTTAAAAGTAGTCAGACAGAAGAAGCAAAGCTAATGGCTCAGATATTTGTGATCAAAGACCACAAGAACAGAATGTGATTTCTTTTTGACATGGATTCCCCCTGCAGATTGTAATGTATCTTTGAAGATCTTCAAAAAACTATATCAAAATACATGGAACTTGAAGGTGAAATCTCAAAAATGTGACACATGAGGACATCAGAAAGGCCTGGTGGGGGAACCGGTTTAGTCGCAAACGGAGCAACAAGGCGGCAATTAATACTGTGTTACATGATACCAGTAGCACTCGGAGGGTACCCTAAATATAATAAATATAAATATTATTATGTTTTTTGTATTTATATATAGGGACATTTTACATATATACAAAAAGAGAAAGAATAAGAAGAAAAACAATAATAATAATAATAATTTTATGGTACTTTATAATAGACACAGACAAAACAATGAAAGTTAATCTCCCAGGCATCATGATTAAAGACCACAACAACAGAATGAACTTTCTTATTGACATGGATTTCCCTTGCAGACTGTAATGTATCTTTGAAGATCTTTAAAAAAAACTATCAAAATACAAGGATCTTGAAGGGGAAATCTCAAAAATGTAGCACATGAGGATATCAATGATTCCAGTTGTAGTTGGAGCACTCGGATTGGTTAGAAAAGGTTCTGATAGACTCATTGAAGGGATTCCTGGTAGCTCATGCCTTAAAAAAATACAAAAAAATCCTACTCACAAGTACAGTTCATACATTACGAAAAGCTTCATCTAAATAAAATGTATGATTTTATTTATTCTTTTTTAATGAAGCCATTTCTGAGCTTAGGTTTCTGGTTGGGACCCGAAGAAAATGTGTATACAACAGAAACCCAAGATAATACTACTACTATTACCACAAATAACAAAGCAGTAAAGAAAAGCGAGAAGAAAAAGGACTAGCCATCAAATGCAAAAAGACAGAATATATTTTTATAGTCCGAACAATATAAATAATGTAAATAGTGCTTTTTGTTGTTCAGGTTTCTCTCAAGTCTCCACTAGAGACTTCAGGAGGCTACAAGTTTTGCTTTTTATCATTTCAACCCAAGGAAGACGATAAACGCCTCTGAGACTGAAGAGGTTACCGGGAGTGAAAGAAAGAGTATGGACAATAAAACAACAAGATCCAAGGAGACAGGAGGCGACGATTGACATAGCAGTTAAATTTTTAAAGACTAGAGATCCTTCCCTGCCCCCAATTAGAATGTCTGATAGTCAACTTCTTGAGAGCAACTCCCTGCGTCTGCTCGGTCTCACGTTGACTGCTGACCTGAGATGAAACAAATACATTGAGTCAATTGCTTCGTCCACCGCGAGGAAAGTTGGCTCTCTGTGCCGCGGCAGGAAATTCTTCTTCCCGGAATCGATACTTCAAATATACAAATCAACCATTCGCCCTTGCATGGAGTATTGATGCCATATATGGTCTGGTGCACCTTCTTTTTACCTCGGAGTTCTTGACAAGATCCAGAGGCGGATATGTAATATAATTGGCCCTGATCTCGTCTACAGTTGCTCTCTCACAGACGCGCCGTCGCCTCTCTCTGTCTTTTTTACAAATACTTTCATGGTAATTGCTCCGATGAGCTGCATTCGCTGGTTCCCAGACTTCATGAATTCAGGCGTCTTACGAGGCTGGCATCCCGCTCTCACCCTTTCACTGTAGAAACTATTAAATGTAGCCGTCTCTTCTAATCCAATCGCTTCATATCTCGCACCTATCGCCTGTGGAACATCCTTCCCTATTACTGTTTTCCCGAGAGCTATAATCTCTTACTATTGAAATGTAATGTCAATCGACATCTCCAGTTACCTTGATCTATCTACTACTTCTCCTCATCCTTTCTTCTATCACTCCTATCTGCTCTTGCTCCAAATCTTCTGCAACCCCCTGCATCCTAGTCGCTTCACGCCTTGCTCGGGGCGTAATGCTTAAAAAGAAACAAACAAAAAACAAAAAAAGAGTTCAGTGGAAAGCAAATTTCAGTCGTCTCTTTTTGATTCTGAACAGAAGTATTGCCATTTTCTGTAAGACATCTTCGTTGTTTATGCACGCCATTCATTCTCAGTATCCTTCTGTAGAACCATGCATTACTACTTAAATAGTACAGGGATAATAGTTAGAAAGAAGATTGTTTCGTTATTGGGGGAAGGCTAGGGGAATAACATGAGTTACGGTTTTAGAGAGAGAGAGAGTAAAGAAAAAGACATGGATAGACTGATAAAGAGAGAGAGAGAAGGGGGCGGGGAGAGAAACTCGTATATAGAGAGAAAGAGCGAGAAAGAGGAACAGAGAGTGATAGAGAAGGGGGGAGGGAGAGAAACTCGTATATAGAGAGAAAGAGCGAGAAAGAGGAACAGAGAGTGATAGAGAAGGGGGGAGGGAGAGAAACTCGTGTATAGAGAGAAAGAGCGAGAAATAGGAACAGAGAGTGATAGAGAAGGGGAGGAGAGAAACTCGTGTATAGAGAGAAAGAGCGAGAAAGAGGAACAGAGAGTGATAGAGAAGGGGGAGGGAGAGAAACTCGTATATAGAGAGAGAAAGAGCGAGAAAGAGGAACAGAGAGTGATAGAGAAGGGGGAGGGAGAGAAACTCGTATATAGAGAGAAAGAGCGAGAAAGAGGAAAGAGAGTGATAGAGAAGGGGGAGGAGAGAAACTCGTATATAGAGAGAAAGAGCGAGAAAGAGGAACAGAGAGTGATAGAGAAGGGGGGAGGGAGAGAAACTCGTATATAGAGAGAAAGAGCGAGAAAGAGAAACAGAGAGTGATAGAGAAGGGGAGGAGAGAAACTCTGTATATAGAGAGAAAGAGCGAGAAAGAGGAACAGAGAGTGATAGAGAAGGGGGAGGGAGAAACTCGTATATAGAGAGAAAGAGCGAGAAAGAGGAACAGAGAGTGATAGAGAAGTAGGGGGCAGGAAGAAAGATACGTCTTGGTACTTACAAACAGTAAATTTTATCCGTCCACAAGTGGTTCCCGCCGGCGATAAAGAATAACTCTGATTTATGGGTACGTTGACATTTTCAGTAATGGCGTTCGTGTATGGTTTGGTCGTTGGTGTGGCGGGAAAAATGTAAGGGTTAGGACGAAGAGGCGGGCACATGTGGTGAGAGGGAAGGGAAGCGGCCTGATTGTCTGTTTTGCATTGGATAATAGATAGCACTTTTGACAGATAATCAGGCTTAAAAACTGCTTTTTTTTTTACATATAGAGAGACTGAAGAATAATCTCTCTCTTTCACTCTCTCTCTCTCAATCTATCTATCTATCTATCTATGACCGTTCATATCTATAAATCTATTCTATTCATTCTGTTCATATATGTTTGACGTGTATCTTTCTGACTCGTTATACCACACGGAAGCTAAAATCGGGCGTTGCATTAACAATCCCTATCTATCTATCTATCTATCTATCTATCTATCTATCTATCTATCTCAGTCTGTTCATATCTATCTATCTATCTATCTATCTATCTATCTATCTATCTATCTATCTATCTATCTCAGCCTGTTCATATCTATCTTTCTATCTATCTATCTATCTATCTATCTATCTATCTATCTATTGATCGTTCTTTTTCCCCTTTCCTTTTTACGAGTCCAATGTAATAAATTATAACCATGGAATATTAGTGTTTGAGCCTTTTATATATATATATATATACATATACATAAATATATATATATATATATGTGTGTGTGTGTGTGTATGTGTGTGTGTGCGTGCGTGTGTGTGCATTTTTATAGTAAAATTACCGACAATACATTTTATGATCTACAAACTATACCGGGTGTAGCAGCAAAATTGTCCAAATCGTAAACACCAAATTTTTCCAATTGTTAGATTAAACTTGGAAGTGTTGTTTCTTAGAAAGAATTAAAGATATCTTACTGGAATTCTTCGAGGTTTTTATAACACTATTGGACTCCACTTTGAGCAATAAGAATCTATAATTACTCTCTAAGCTGAACAGAAGTATCGTAATGAAATCGACCATAAACGAAAATGACATGTTCATCATTAATTAGTCATGGGTAAGGATCAGGAGATCATGAAGTATTGAAATAAAGTTCATATATATATATATATATATATATATATATATATATATATATATATATATATATTACTCCAGGATCATTTTTCAAAGGTATTCAAGACGATCCTGACCATCTCTAACCTTCTAACTTTCTGTCCTGGTGTAAGAAGTTTCTTCACATGTTAAACGTGCGATTTCATTTTCAAGTCATTTTTACGGTTCTCTGGACTGTCATTGCTGAAACTTTTCTCTCACGTGCCAAAGATTAATTAAGCTGCATCTTTTCTAATTGATCTCTTTAGCTTTAAGTCGAAATGATGATCCCTCTTCTTGTTGTGACCTCCTGGTCCAGTTTTCCTCTCTCTATCGTTTCCTCTTTTTTAAACTTATTCGCCGTTCTCTTGATGGCTCTTGAATGGACTTTAAAGATGGGAGTCAGAGTATGAATGTTGGTACCATTACTGAAGGCCTGAATGATGTTTTCCTCACATCATTGCTCAATTGAGAAGACAGTGGGGCTGAAACCAAAAAATTTTAACCTGTTCTATTTCTAGCTGAATAACTCAATGGGTATTTCAATGATTTTTACGACAAATGGTGTCAAGATAGCTAAGCGTCTTATTTGAAAACCTGGAAAAAAAAGTTAGATTAGTGGTTTTTAGATATTAAACATTTTGTAAGATGGACAATTATACTGTAACAGGATTTGAACAATTTTGCTGTTACAGCCGGTATATCTAAAACTATACGATTACTTTGAAAGTATAAACTTATATACAAAATATTTAGATTTCGGCATTAAATTATTCTTAGAGGTTGATATGCCGTTAAACAAAATCAAGCAATCAAAATCCAAATATTTAGATTTCGGTATTAAATATCCAATAAAGGTTGATATGCCGCTAAACAAAATCAACGAAACAAAATACAAATATTTAGATTTCGGCATTAAATAATCCTTAGAGGTTTATAAGCCGCTAAACAAAATCAACGAAGCAAAATCCAAATATTTAGGTTTCGGCATTAAATAACCCAAGGAGGCTGATATACTGCTAAACAAAATCAACCAGGCAAAATCCAAATATTTAGATTTCGGCATTAGGTTGATAAGCCGCTAAACAAAATCAACCAAGCAAAATCTAAAAATTAGGACTTTGGCATTAAATAACCTAAGGGGGCTGATATACTGCTAAACAAAATCAACCATGCAAAATCCTTAATATTTAGATTTCGGCATTAGTTTGATAAGCCGCTAAACAAAATCAACCAAGCAAAATCCAAATATTTAGATTTCGGCATTAAATAATCCTTAGAGGTTGATATACTGCTAAACAAAATTAGCCAAATAAAATCCAAATATTTAGATTTCGGCATTAAATAACCCAAGGAGGCTGATATACTGCTAAACAAAATCAACGAAGCAAAATCCAAATATTTAGATTTCGGCATTAGGTTGATAAGCCGCTAAACAAAATCAACGAAGCAAAATCCAAATATTTAGATTTCAGCATTAAATAACCCAAGGAGGCTGATATGCTGCTAAACAAAATCAACAAATCAAAATCCATATATTATGTTTCGGCATTAAATAATCCTTAGAGATTGATATGCCGCTAAACAAAATTAACCACACAAAATCCAAACATTTGGATTTCGGCATTAAATAATCCATAGCGGTGTTGATATGCTGCTATACCAAACCAACCAGCTAACCATTTTCCAAAGTAGCTTCTGGAGAAAAAGCTGCTTAGAAATTTATCCTGAAAGTTAAAACCCGAGAGAAATAGAAGGGATTCGATACAATGGATGTTGTCAAGCATAAAAGGTGTGAATGTTTGGAATTAAAGAAAATGCGGTTGATTCGCTATATTGTGCGTGACACGGTGGGGATTAGAATAAAGGATCTCAACAATTCAAGTTGTAGTTGGAGCCCTCGGATTGATTGGAAAAGATTCCAAAAGACTCATTAAAGGGATTCCTGGTAGCCTATGCCTTAAAGAAATACAAATATTGCTCTTATAAGAACAGCCCACACCTTATGAAGGGCTTCATATATGTAAAATATGTGTGATTTTTATGGGACTTTATAATAGGCACAGACAGAACAATGAAAGTTAATCTCCCAGGCATCAGGATTAAAGACCACAACAACAGAATGAACTTACTTATTGACATGGATTTCCCTTGCAGATTGTAATGTATCTTTGAAGATCTTTAAAAAAAACTATCAAAATACAAGGATCTTGAGGGGGAAATCTTAAAAATGTGGCACATCAATAATTCCATTTGTAGTTGGAGCCCCCGGATTGATTGGAAAAGATTCCGATAGACTCATTGAAGGGATTCCTGGTTGCTGATGCCTTAAAGAAATACAAAAAATTCTACTCACAAGTACAGTTCATACATTACGAAAAGCTTCATCTAAATAAAATGTATGATTTTATTTATTCTTTTTAATGAAGCCATTTCTGAGCTTAGGTTTCTGGTTGGGACCCGAAAGAAAATGTGTATACAACAGAAACCCAAGATAATACTACTACTATTACCACAAATAACAAAGCAGTAAAGAAAAGCGAGAAGAAAAAGGACTAGCCATCAAATGCAAAAAGACAGAATATATTTTTTATAGTCCGAACAATATAAATAATGTAAATAGTGCTTTTTGTTGTTCAGGTTTCTCTCAAGTCTCCACTAGAGACTTCAGGAGGCTACAAGTTTTGCTTTTTATCATTTCAACCCAAGGAAGACGATAAACGCCTCTGAGACTGAAGAGGTTACCGGGAGTGAAAGAAAGAGTATGGACAATAAAACAACAGGATCCAAGGAGACAGGAGGCGACGATTGACATAGCAGTTAAATTTTTAAAGACTAGAGTTCAGTGGAAAGCAAATTTCAGACGTCTCTTTCTGATTCTGAACAAAAGTATTGCCATTTTCTGTAAGACCTCTTCGTTGTTTATTCGCGCCATTCATTCTCAGCATCTTTCTGTAGAACCATGCATTACAACTTAAATAGTACAGGGATAATAGTTAGAAAATGTGTATACAACAGAAACAGTGGTACGTCTGGACATTTTCCATGGAAATAACAATAGAGTATTGAGAGGCTTGCGACGTTTTCTCTGTGGGAAAATGTTTTTAGTGGGAAAATAATTAATCACCCACAAGGACGCGAAGACACTTTTTAAAACTGGAGATTGCAAAGAGAAGACTGTCCATATATGGCAACATTGTCAGCTTGATCGGGCTTTTCTAAAAGTAGGTGATAGCAAGAGGAGTCTGGCTTTTACTGATCAGTACAGAGAACCAACCCATTTTCCCATCATCATTCGTGATGAACGGTGTACAGACTTGAGGTCTGGGCTGAGCTAAAGTCCCAATAGGCTCTCAAGGCACGAGGCCGCCCTGTCGTAACATCTGTTAGAGTGGAAAATATGTAATTCCTCCGATGACCGTTAAAATATTTTTGAACTTTGTCAAAGCTGAAAATAGAAAATTTTGCAGCTTCAGCCCAGATATGGCAGCAATATGCAATGTGGGCATATCCGGAATCGAGCATTTGTTTTCATCAGTCACATAGATTGAATATTATACAGTGAAAATTTTAGATCAAAATTCAGCTAATAACTCCGTGTTAGGGCGTGTACTTTTTGATTCACTTCGTATATATTACCGAGACAGTTGCATCTGTTCTAACTTTTCCAGAGGCGGAAAACTGAGCCTCGATCTCTTTTGAAGATTAGCGCAACATAATCTTAGATTATGAGCACAAGTAGTTACGTATATTTACCAAATTCAGCTTCCGGCATACAAGATTATAGTGTCGATCCAAATTCTGCCGAAATTGTCTGGGACTATAGTCACCAGTGGCAAAACCGCAACTCTTTTCGCTGCCAGGTATGTCTAAGAACAGACTTATTTATTTGATAAGACTGAGAGGCAGTCTGAAAGGTGGCGAAATAATGACGTTGATCAAGACGAGGTTAACAAAAGTTGTTTTGAATGAGAATTTTTGAAACTATTCCCAATTGGAAGTCTTTTGCAAAGAGAGGTACTTAAATTA